ACCAGGGCGCGCCTGCTGCCCCCGCAGCCCGGGGAGGTTCCCTGGGCGCTGCCCCCACCTGCAGAGGTGGCAGGACGTCTCTGCCGAGGCCCCACCCTGGGGGCGCGGGGGCCGGCAGGGCAGCTCCCCCAGCCGGTGGAGGACTCCTCACGCCAAGTGCTCCTCTTTCTGCGACTCCTCGAAGCCTTTTTTTGGTTTTAGAAGTGAAGGAAAAAGAAAGACTGTGTGCAGCGCCCCCCTCCGGGAGAGGGGGTTATGGAGGCGGCTGGGTTAGTGGTGGGAGCGGGGCTGGGCAGCAGGCGTGGCCGGGCCGGGACTGGGTCACCCTCAGCGGCTCCTCCATACCTCCCCCTGACTTGCTCCTTCATTTTCGGTTTTTTGGGGAGCAGTTGGGATGCTGCCCCCTTTAGGGGGAGTTATGGACCTGAGGTGGCGCTGGAGGCTGGACCCGCAGAACACGCCGGGTGCGGAGTGAGGAGGGTGAAGACAGCAGCCTGGCTCCGCAGTGTGGCGGGCAGGCAGGGGCTGGCCCCCTGGGTTTGCTCACCCGCACACCCCTGTCGGGACGTGCGGAGCCTCGGCCACTAGGCTGTGCTGGGGCCCCGAGTCACGGGACATGTTCCTCGGCGCTGCTGGGCCTCAGGGTGCTGTGGGCTAGGCCCTGAGTGGGCAGCTGGCTGACCCCTGCAGGACCAACTCCTGCAACTGGTTAGACCCCAGGGGCAGGGCCCTACCAAGAGGCATGGGTAAGTGTTTTAGGGTTCCAAGGTGCTATCAGTAGGGCCGGGGGTAGGGCTGCTGTCGCAGAGTACCCCCATCCCTCACAGCTACTCTGGCTGTGTCTCACACCGGAAGGACATGTGTGTGTCTATGTGGTCTCTGGCCCCCAAAGCCCAGCCCCAGGCCTTATCCTCCCCCTGGGCCCAGCGACATCGTGCCCCTGCGTCCTTGTCCCTCCTAGGGCTCTGTACTGGTGGGCGGGGCACGTGCCTGTTCAGGCCCAGAGAGCAGGGGGCTGGGGGAGCCCGGGCGTGCCAGTGCTTGCCCCACGAGGCCGACACGAATAGGATACTCTTCTGTTGTCATTAACGTCTTTATTCCTGCCTTTAAAACGGGGAGGAAGGTCCCATAAGCTCCACATTTCTAGTTAAGCTCTTTCTTATTGTGTTTATACGGATTTGTTTGTTATGCTCTTTGCACCTTAACCCCCCCACTTCCCCACTTTGCCACCTTCCCAGCATGGCCAGCGTTGGACGAGGCCTGGGCCCGAGTGGAGCCATGGCGGGGACTGAACCCTCTGACCTCGTGAGGTCCATGGCGCTGGGGCAGGGGGCTGGGGACATTTTAATCATCAATAAATGAAGCACTTTATTCTGTACAGATGTGGGCAGGCCCGAGATGCCCGAGTGATTTGAGGGTCTATAATCCAAGCCACATCGCCCTGCTAGTGTTCTGGGCTTGGAGGGACTGCCAGCAGCTTTCTTGGGCTGGATCCCTTCCCTGGCCTGGAGGGAATGGGGGCTGCACTGGGTGGTGTAGACCGGAGTCTATAGATAGCCTGGGATGCCCCTGCACAGGGGAGAAGGTAGGCCCCTCCCCAAGGGAGGAAGCTATTCCTGCCTCGCGAGCCTTTGGTCTCTGTAGCTCCCTCCCTCCAGGGCCGAGGGGTCCAGCTTCGTGGGGCCGGTCCTGGTGTTCTAGATTCCTGCTTTACTGTAGTTCTTTCCTTCTTGTACCCCGTGATCTCTGGGCTTCCATGACGTCCTCAGGGTCCTCCCTCCCCCTTGCTGTTTCTCATCTTTGGTCCCAGTGCCTGGCAGCTCTTCAGAGCTGGCTGACATTCCCCCCAAAAGTTGATCTTTCCTCTTCCCCCATGGTGGGCTGTAGACAGGACCCCCTCCATGGGTTCTCCATCCCCTCCATCACTGACAGTGTCTCAGGTGAGGGGCTGGTGACCCTGTCACCTGCTGGCCCCACTGTAGCCTGAGCAGGCCCGGAGGGGCCTGGCCAGGCTGTGACGCTGGTCTTTTGGGCCGTGATAAAACAAGCAGAGGTCAAAGACAGCGGGAAGACCTGGTGGTGAAACTGCCCCAGGGTCTGTGCACGTGCCCTCTGGGGACAGGCAAGGGGTCCAGACAGCTGGCTGGGTACTGCCCAAGATGGTCATTCTAGCTGCAGGTGAGCTTGGCCAACCCCGCTCCTGAGAAGCCCCTGTCCCTTGGGACAGGGGCCCTATGTCCCTGGTGCTAACTGCTCTCTGTCTCGGCCCGTGTTGATGGGAGCACCTTTCTGGCCAGAGCAGGCGGCCAGCAGCAATAACGGGACCGGCAGTGCCAGTGTGGATGGGGCTTCTCGTCTTACCAGCCTTTACATTTCCTTCGTAGTTTTCAAACAAATTAACATGCACCCGGATGTCGGAGTGAGGAAGCTGGGACATCACACCCACTCCCTGGGGCTGGAGGTGAGGGGGGCTCAGGACCACCTCGGAAGGAGATCTGCGTGGCTCCCTCTGCCTGGTCGGACTTCCCAGCCTGTTCAGCCGGCCCCTGGGTCTGGAGCCTGGGCCTGCTCCCTCCTGGATTCCCAGAGCCGGCTGCAGGCCCCGTGACCACAGTCGTGGACCTGAGCCAGTGTCCTGCCTCGTGCTGCACAGCCACCAGGTGCCCTCACGGGCCCAGTGTCAGCAGGACATGCCCAGGCAGGTCGTGTGAGCCCTTGTGGTGGTCATGTATGTGCGCCTGCAGCCCCAGGTCTGTGAGGACCACGCATGGGAGCGAGGAGAAGGGGCAATAAAGTCAGTCCAACTCCTGACCCTTGGCCTGGCCTCTTCTTTACCGTCTGCCTGCCCTGACGGTGGTTAGAGTGAGGGCACTGTGACCCCGCGGCTCGGCCTGCAGGGTCCGTGGGCGTCTTACCTGGATGGCTGACCATGACACCCACCTCCCTTTCTTAAGGGTGGGCTGGGCTCAGGGAACCCAGGGACTGGAGCTGGGTGTTGGGTTTGACCTGGGACCCAGAGGAGGAGAAGTCCTAGCTGCTGAGAGGGAGGCCCCACAGCCCGCATCTGCTGGAGGCCAGGCCTGCACGGGTTTGGGTCCCATGAGCACCAGGCACGAGGCCCGGGAGCCATGGTATGCAGGGACACACCTGGTCCATTCATGTGCTTAGCTCTGGGGGGCTATGATGAGCCATGGCAGGCAGGGGACCTGCGTGGGCCAGGCACTAGAGACCCCGATATGGCTCCTGGAAGGCAGGTGAGTAGCCTCCCAGGAGTGTGTGGGCAGGTTCTGTGGGACCTCGGTTATCTCACCGCACAGGCTGACACCCAGAGCATAGCTCTGTCCCCGAGGGAACTCTGGGCCCTGGGAGGTGGTGAATGAGGTCTCTGCTTTTGTGGCACCAACCCCTGGATACATAGAGCGGGGTCGGACAGGTCCTCCCTGGACAGGAAGTGGGCTGGGAGAGAAGTCAGGGTGGCTTCACTGGCCAGAGAGGAGGTACAGGTTCCCAGGATGTCACTGGTGTTTTTCCGCATGGTCTGACTTCTTTGAAAGGAACAGGCTTGCTTAAAACACCCTACAGGGACCAGCAGTTAGCGTGATGGCTATGTTGCTGGACTCCCACGTAGTCAACTGCAGTTCGCGTCCCGGACTCAGTGGCTTAAAACTCACACCGGGCACGTGTGCGTGCGTGCCCAAGATCCCGAGAGGAGAAGGGATTGTGGTGTGGCCATCACCCCTGGGGGGTGATTTCTCACTTTCTACCTCTCTGTCTCTTTCTGTCTGGCGAGCGCACGTGCCCTATAGCAAAAACCTCTCCAAAGAAAAAAAAAAAAAAAAACATCCTACAAACAAAGCTCCCCGGGCCAGCCCCGTAGTGCAGAGGTTACATGCTGTGTACGGAAAACGAGATCCCGTGTGGCCAGCCATAGTTCCAGTCTCCTCCCCAGAGATTTGAAAAACACATGAACATGTGTGCATTCCTGTCCCATATCCTGGAGAACGGGAGACACGTTGGGAGTGCTTTCTC